CAAAGTCAGTTGATATGCTATATTACATGTAATTGCTGATAAGTCCATATATGCAGACAACAATCCACACTGGGTAGCTCTAGGAATCTTGTTAAGCCTGATTTAACAACATCCCGCCTTTGTTTTTAAACTATAAACATTTAGAAATAGAACGTACCAAACACTATTATATACTCACCGCCTTTGGCTTTGCACATATTAAGTGACATAACAAACAAATAAACTAAAAGTTCATTTGCTTCTTGTATCAGCATAAAGGCATTAATCATTACTGTCGATTTGGTCGGGAATAGATCAGTGATTCCGTGGGTATTATAATTGCCGATATATTCTTGAAATCATTTTGTTTCAATGCCTCTATATCGAAGTTTAATACACTAAAGTGACTAAACAAGTATATTAGTATAAACAGCAGATTTAAATATAAATGCCTTCATGTATTATAAAATATATCACCAGACAGGTAGACAGGGCACACGGCACGACTACATCACTATACGAGAACGAAATAAAGCCATCCTTACCTGAATTATTCAAAATATTATCGATCATTCTTGCGCCAGAGACACAAAATAACACCGTGCTTTATTTACCCATTCATCTTCACAAATATTACTCGGAATTTTTATGGAAATTCGCATTATTTTATGATTTTTATATTTCTGTCCGTTTATAACAGTCGTCATGTTGTGAACAAACCCCCCCGGGAACAAAAAAATAATATCAAAACAGCTAGTTTTGGCCCGTCCGTGGATGACAGAATGACATAAATCGAGATTGTAGCGGCTATAAACTCGGCGGTCACGTGGTAAGCACACCACGTGTAGAGATTAGTGTGCTGCCGAGCTACGCTCGGCAGCAACAAGAATAAATCTTTGATAAGTTCTTTGCAATAAATCTTTGCTCTGCATTTAAGGCTGAAAGCATTTCAACTTTGTAGCGATGCGTTCATTTCACAAGGACAAAAGCCCACAAAAAATTCCAGTTGCCATTAATGGGATCACAGGTCATTTATTTCAAGTTCTCTATATTTATATAATTGAATATGCGTGTGTTCAAAAATGCACGATGTGTGGCTTGAATTAAAAGGATTTAGCGTATTACTTGAAGCTACAGGAAATAGCTTTTGTCTGTGGCTAAACAGATTAGGGCGGGGTGAAGGGATTAGATATATTTTGAAACAAGTACTTAAGATCAGTCTATTTATTTGTAGTTTATGTTCTTGCGTAATTCTGTACAGTACATAACATTGAGAACAAATTTTCTATGAATAATCAAGTAACACTTGGACACTGTAACTGTGTGACACTAACAAGTTGTCAAGCTGAATGTCATGCCTGACACGCTTTGAGCTGCATCCTTCGCAGACCTGCGATTCCGGTGCAGGGCTGAGCTACAGAGAGACCGTTGTCGAGCTCTAATCACAACAGACCTTTCCCCTTTCGAGTGAAATTTTGATCTAAACAAGTCTGGACAAAAATTTCATCACAGCTTGAAAGAGCATCACAAAATTAGTAATATTCCAAAGTTTCGTTGCGAAATGTTGTAAAATGCGGATAATATAGCCTTGCGAAGTTTGCCGTTTTTCAGTCATTTCGCATTACAAATGGGAAATTGGTAATCAGATGATCAAACTGATTACCAATTTCCCATTTGTAATACAAAATGACTGAAAAACGGTAAACTTCGCAAGGCTATATTATCCGCATTTTACAACATTTCGCAACGAAACTTCGGAATATTACTAATTTTGTGATGCTCTTTCAAGCTGTGATGAAATTTTTGCCCAGGCTTGTCTAGATCAAAATTTCACTCATAAGGGGAAAGGTCTATTCGTGTATACATACTAAAGTGATGCCATACCCAAACTGTTACATTTGGAACATTATATCTCTCTAATACTGTATTGAATCCCATAGTATTATAGCCTTAGGGACACAAAGCTTATTTAAATTAAAACACATGGCATACTAAGAGCCTATTTCAGGAACTATAAGTAGACCCTTACTCCTTAGCCCTAAAATTTATCATCTTTTAAAAATAGCTATACTGCAAATACCGACATTGTTAATGTTAAAAAGTATCCCCACTTAGACAAAGGCACTTTAGACCAATTGTATCATTACTGCGGTCCCTTTTAATGTTGCAACATGACGTAAATGCCATCAATTATACTCAATTGCTCGAGAGTGAAGGAGCGTTGCAATCTGTCAAGGACACGCATAATTGAAACACTTTAAATGCATCAAATGCGTGGTAGAACCAATGTTAGTACACAAAGATGGAAAATGTGACTTCGACAATTGTTAAACGGCTCGTATCTGGTCAGTTTTGCTTCAATTGATACACAATGTTGTCAGTACTAAAAAAGCCAACACTCCAATCTTTTATCTTTATTAACATGAAAAAGTTAACCTGTGTACTCAATGTTGAGCGCACAAGGGCACACTAAATTACTTCTTTAGTTTACTTCATTAATTAATATACTTCATTAGTAAACTTCAGTAGCTGACTTCATTAGTATACTTTATTAGTAAACTTAATTAGTAAACTTAATTAGAATACTTCATTAGCAACTTCATTAGCATACTTCATCAGTATATTCATTAGTATATTCATTAGTATACTTCATCAGTATATTCATTAGTACACTTCATAAGTATATTCATTAAACTTCATCAGTATATTCATTAGTATACTTCATCAGTATATTCATTAGTACACTTCATCAGTATATTCATTAGTACACTTCATCAGTATATTCATTAGTATACTTCATCAGTATATTCATTAGTACACTTCATTAGTATATTCATTAGTAAACTTCATTAGTATATTCATTGGTATACTTCATTAGTATATTCATTAGTACACTTCAATAGTATATTCATTCGTACACTTCATTACTATATTCATTATTATACTTCATTAGTATATTCATTAGTACACTTCATTAGTATATTCATTAGTATACTTCATTAGTATATTCATTATTATACTTCATTAGTATATTCATTAGTATACTTCATTAGTATATTCATTAGTATACTTCATTAGTATATTCATTAGTATACTTCATTAGTATATTCATTAGTATACTTCATTAGTATATTCATTAGTATACTTCATTAGTATATTCATTAGTATACTTCATTAGTATATTCATTAGTATACTTCATTAGTATATTCATTAGTATACTTCATTAGTATATTCATTAGTATACTTGAATTAGTATATTCATTAGCATACTTCATTAGTATATTCATTAGTACACTTCATTAGTATATTCATTAGTACACTTCATTAGTATATTCATTAGTACACTTCATTAGTATATTCATTAGTATACTTCATTAGTATATTCATTAGCATATTTCATTAGTATATTCATTAGTATACTTAGTAAACTTCATTAGTTTACATGAATTTAATTAATTCATTATATAATCAACCTAATGATTGTATCATATTTCTTCATATAAATACCGCTTTTGATGTATAACCTAGCCAGTTTATCCTGATGATGACTGAAATATAGTCGAAACGTAGATAAATAAAAATGTTATCGATTTTTGGAGTTTCACTGGTTTTGTATCTTATTAAAATACTCAGTGGTTCTAAAAAAAATTAGTAAACTTCATTAGTATACTTCATCAGCATACTTCATCAGCATACTTCATTATACTTCATTAATATACTTCATTAATATACTTCAGTAGTAAACTTCATTAGTATACTTCATGTTGATAGTATACTTGGTCACTTTTTTTCTTGAAATGATCAAAAAAGATCAGTGCCATTCAACAGCTAAAACCCTAATCTTTATTCTGAGATTCAGATTTTGAGTACCGCTACCATTAACCAATCGGATCCATTTATTCTGCACGATTAACCAATCAAATATGTATTAAGCCTGTTAGAGGTAGTGGTAGTCAAATGCAACTGCGAAAAATGCAACTATATCGACCCATTGGCAGGAATAGAACCTGAGATTCCGGTGGAGGGCTCTGACCATAGATATCTTATATATACTAGATAGTGCATCCAATTATTCTGCAATTCAGAAACTGAAGCCGTGATTGCAGTCTCAGGTCGTTCCCATGAAATGAGAAGATTCGTATGTTTTCTATTTCTTAAACAGGGAACTTAAACATTAAGTTAACCCTATTCCAAATACGTTTTTAAACTATTCAAATGATGAAAATTATTGTTGTTTTTAAGCGTTTATTAACAAGTGGGAACGACCAACATGGCCGCCATCTATTCAAATGGCGGTAACCGCTGGAATATTCTTGCCTTCAATTTTACTAAAAGAGATGCGCTATCTAGTGTATATAAGATATCTATGGCTCTGATTAACTGAGAGAGAGAGATATATTTATTTGAATTCGGGGATTCTTCAGTGCACTGCTTTACAAGAAAGCCGAATATATATATACAGTTTTAGCTAGAAGCTGATGATGTGATTATTGCTCCTTTTTTAAACTGACTCAAACTGCATTTTACATCTTCAGGTAAAGTATTCCACAATTTTACCCCTGAAAATGCAAAGCTTCTTTCATCAATATGTACCCCTGATGACTTGGTTGCTTTGACCCTTTTTATAGCTTTGTTTTCAAGAAATAGTAGTGGTACATCTCTTAACTTGTCAAGATTTTGATCTGATCCAATGAACATGTACTCAGTTTTGGTCACGTTAAGGCTGAGTTTGTTTGCTTTCAGCCAGTCACATATATTATTTAAGTCATCACTAGCATGTGTTACTAATTCTCGAATAGATGTTCCTGTCGTTGCTATGTTTGTATCGTCAGCGTACATTCGAGCTGTAGAATTTTTAAACACTGAGGAAGATCGTTGATATATATGAGAAACAATAACGGTCCAAGAATTTACTCCTGAGACACACCACAATTACGTCATTCACATAACATTTTTGTTTGCGATCTTGTAAATAGGATTGAAACCAGGATTAATTATTTGTGTCATTCAATAGTGGCATCTATTAGTGCAGTCATAGTAGAGTGGCACTTCTAAAGCCTGATTGATTCTTGTGTAACAGGTAGTTTTCATTGAAATAGGTGTAAAGCTGATCAAAAACAATACGCTCGAAAACCTTAGAAATCACACTTAAAACCGAAATTGGTCTGTAATTCCCTACATTATCTTTTGCGTCACCTTTGTATATAGGGGAGACTGAGCTACAGAGTGACAGTTGTCGAGATCTAACCACAAGTTCATGTGTAATTAACTGTGGCTAATGTTAATTAATGGGGTCATAATCTATTTCTAAATATACCCTAACCCCCACTGACAAATGTCCCCGAGGACGAAACTAGAATAAGTCAAAAGACTATAATTAAACCCACGTTATCACAAGTGAATGCCAAAGGTGCTTGCTCTGATTACGGCGCTACCGAACAATTACATTTTGGAAAGTAACCAATATTCTAAAATTATATACAATATATTTCTTTCAAAAACTCATTAATAATTCATGAGGAAAACACAAAGAAATCATAAGCGTGTCGTATCTACATATGTGATAAAGATTTCCCTTGATTTACATAAACTTTAACTTTGATTTACTCGACAATGAACTTCCCCAATGAACTTACTACATCGAAATTAACATCGTTAATTGTTACAAGTTGTCGAGAAGAAAGGATATTTTAAACTTACATCCTGAAACTGATGCAAAATTACTGTTTAATCTATACATACATTTCCTGCATGCATACGAGAAAACTTGTATTATCACTTAAATTTAAAGATGAAGCTCGAAGATAAGAAAGATAACACTAAATACTTAAGACACATAAAAATATAATCGTCCGTTTTTGGCATTCAATTAATTCCAGAAATAACTGGTGCCGAATCACACATAACTATATAACAAGCATGACAGCTTATGACGAGCTTTAAAGTAATTCGGTTTTCTAGCATTTCGGTTTTTCTAGGCATCAGACAACACGGCAGCTTTGGTAGCATACTACCTACACTGGACCCCATTGAGATATCTTTTTTAGGTACAGTTCAGACACAAACCACGACAGCTTATTGTAGAATACTACCTACACTGGACCACCATGTTTGAGATATCTTTTTCAGGTAGTTCAGACACAAACCACGACAGCTTACTGTAGAATACTACCTACACTGGACCACCACGTTTGAGATATATTTTTCAGGTAGTTCAGACACAAACCACGACAGCTTATTGTAGAAAACTGCCTACACTGGACCACCACGTTTGAGATATATTTTTCAGGTAGTTCAGACACAAACCACGACAGCTTATTGTAGAAAACTGGACCCCCTGTTTCTACAAATATTTATTCAAATATTAATGCTCTCATCTCCTCTAACACTTACATAAAAACGCCAAGAATTTTGTTCATACACAATATACGTATTTTAGTCATTATTCTGAAGAGGTCGTTTGCTTATAATTAACAATTACAAAAACTTAATGAAACATTTCTTTGTCTCCAAAAGGGTAACATTATCGTAACCGCATTTACATAAACACAATTCCATTTGAGCCTTTGGAAATGTTTTAAAACTAATGTACTTGAAAAGTAATGCTGTAGTTGGTTATGCTCTTGTGCCACAAGGAATTGCTCCCTCGCCAAAAACCCTTGCAGGTATAATGTGGCACCATATAATAAGCCTTCCGGTTCGGTCACGCTTTGAGCTGCATCCTTCGCAATTGTGATTAATTAACACCTCTACTTCTAAATCTAGAGACCTCAGTTGCAAAGAATGATGGTTAATTAACACCTCTACTTCTAAATCTAGAGACCTCAGTTGCAAAGAATGATGATTAATTAACACCTCTACTTCTAAATCTAGAGACCTCAGTTGCAAAGAATGATGGTTAATTAACACCTCTACTTCTAAATCTAGAGACCTCAGTTGCAAAGAATGATGATTAATTAACACCTCTACTTCTAAATCTAACTAATAAAAAGCTTAGCTCGAAAACCGTTTTTAAGTGTTTATTCTTAAGAGCCCGTTAAATGCGATAGTTTAATAGCTTATAAAACACTTCTTTGTGTACAAATTGCTCAACCGTTTGTTTTAAAACCATTCAGGAGGAATTTCATAGGAACTATAAACCGAACGGAATTCACTTGTCTATAAAAAACGACAAGCTATACTAGATTATACTTAATCTCTTATTTTCCGTATACGTATAGTGGACTCCAGACCTGTTTTTAGCGCGCATCATGCTTGCATTTTTTAATCCTTGCGCAGTTTCTAAATTTGTTCAGTCACTTGTATTAAACAGACAGCCGAGAGTGGCGACTCTGACGTTATAAGAGCTAAAGACATGAGGTATACACTCATAGCAATTAAGAACGGCTCCTGAGAGCTATACTTTAATCGCAAGCTTTGGACATCAATCCTGTTAAGAAACTCCATATAACAATTCACAATGGTCTCCCAGTTTACAAGAAAGGTCAGTAAAACTATACATATAACAATCACTTGTTCTTTCCATCATTCTTGCGACTTTTTATTGTTAACGAAAAACAAATATTTGTCTACAATACCGGTTCAGTTAAGTGATTTGTGGTGCTTTTGTAAATGGTGCAACTTGGAAGTGTAGGTTATCTCTTATGGGAGGAAGAAAATTATTTGTGGTTTGTACTTAAACTACCTGAAAAAGATATCCCAAACGTGGGGCCCTAGTATATAGGTAGTATGTTATACAATAAGCTTCCATTGTTTATGTCTGAACTGCCTGAAAAGATATCTCAAACGTAGTGGTCCAGTGTTGGTAGTATTCTACAATATGCTGCCGTAGTTTGTGTGTGAACTACCTGAAAAGATAGTCTCAAACGTGAGGGTTCAGTGTAGGTAGTATTCTACCATAGCTGCGTCTGAAGCCTTTACTAGAAAATCGAAGTGTTTTAAATGCTTGTAAGCAGTCATGCTTGTTAGTTATGTCGGAAAGGAAACATAGAAATACATGCAGTCATCACATGTATTGTAACATCGAATACATATGGTGTCGGTCGGAGCAATTTGGCGATTGACGGCCCTTCCGTTTTACATTAGACCACCGCTAGTTTTTAGGTAACAAGGTTCTTTGTCACTTGTGTTGCAATGAGTTGTAGCTTCATGTAACATGGCCTTCAAAGCTTTGTATAAAATTGGTAACAATTGGTTGCCGAGATTGCCTATATCCGTGAATTCTATGATATAACACTGAATAATTCGTATGGCTGACAGTTTATCAGAAATTCTGTCACATTACGTTTAGATATACTACAGATATATTGATCATGAGATGGCCATTAACAGCACTTGGCCTTAATTAGCTGTGTTGTAATACTAGTATAATTTAGAATTTTCCATCACTTTATATACATTAAATAGGCGCATAGTAATTTTGAGCTTTTCAATGCTCATTTGATAGTTCATAAAACACCATCCAAATTTGCAAATTTGCACCCGAAGAATAAAAATTTAAACCTTACTTTTTGCACGCAAGCCATTGTTCAAGTGGTTTTGAAAAACAGAAATGCTGCATTCGAAAATTTACTTTTTATAATAATTTGGTGATGAGATACCAGATTCAGAAAACCCCAATTATTGTGATAACTTTATGCATAGCCTATCGAAAGGAAGATGGCTGTGAAACTCATTAGAATAACAATATAACTCATTATGATGTTAGTCAACGTTTATTCATAAGTCTGGTCGTTTCACTGTCACGTGTGTATTGTATTTTTACCAAATCCACCAATAGCAATTTCCAGTTTCCCTATTGTTCGAGTCACGGATAGGTGACTTTCCTAAAATATTGCTATTGGTTAGTTGGGCAAGAATACAATACACACGTGACGGTGAAGGACCAGATTTATGAATAAACGTTGATAACAACATAGATAATGAGTTATATTGTTATTCTAATGAGTTTCACAGCCATCTTCCCTTCGATAGGCTATGCTTCATGTTTGCTTGGATATTACCCAAGCTAACATAAAGTTATCACAAATTTCGCGGAATTTTCAATTAAGAGGATGTTCTAGAACTGCACTATTTTTTAATTTATACACCCTGTGTTATGCATTAGTTACATATTGCGAGTCCTTTGGAGAAGCTTTAATAGTTCCATAATTTAGTTTCATAGGGGTTTACACTATCAAAGAATTTTGCATAGGTCGAAATTTAGCAAAACAAAAAGGGCGGGAAAATTCTTGACTGAGCCCACAATGCCACGAATGCTCAGCGACATGACCATCTCGGTGCAATTTCCGGACCTCCGGGAAGAACAGTTTAGAATTGAAAGAGCTATCCATTATAAATCATATTAATGGATTAGTGTCATTGTGTGAAGCATATGTATGTAGGAAATGACGTAATATTCTGGCTAATATCTCATATTATCTCCGTGACCTTTACGGCAAAAAGATGATTACTTATCTCCCTGTTCTAATAGGATTAAAATTCTCGCTCCGTCTGAGCCTATTTCTATTAACTGTGGTCTGAGTGTTTTTGTTTTAAAAATAAGTCGTCTACGGTACGATAACTTTATTTATGCTGGACAGTCTTAAGCTATTCTCACTTAAGGTTACAGGATACCCTATATAGGCACGCGTTTCAGGAGATGTACCATTACTCGGCGAATTTTTATCCAATTTCTACGAAACTCTCGCCGAATGTAGCCAGATAGATGAAGAATAAAATATATACTATAATATATGTTTTATGCACGCAAGTGACCACGAATTTCTTCTGCATAAAGCCTGCCGCACACGAGAGAAACATGCTAAGCTACACGCCTCGCGTGGCGGCTTGAGGAAAGTATCTGCGTGCTTGACATTCCCCACCTCGCGAGGAAAAAATCTCAACATAGTGCTGAGCTGTTTAAGTTAACTAGCCAATAAGAACCCATACCTTCTTCACGTGACTCTTGTCAAAATAGCGACAATGAAGGGAAATGCAAACGATATTGCTGTTGAGTATAGTTTTCCCAACGAGTGCGGTGAAAACGCATAGCTGAGCTTACCGCCACGCGAGGTGCTACCCTACCTTGCTGCTCAAGTGCTTAGATATTGTAATGGATATACAGATTGTTATTTATTGAATTTACCATATTTCCTTTATTTAGCCCCTCGAGGCTTACTTTTTATCCAGTAGTCTGGACTGGGGGGTATTACAGGGGGCTAAACACAGACTGCATGGGGCAAGATAAAAATTCTTTGAATAATGATTAATTTACAGTATTATACTTAGATAAACATGAAGAAAAATTCCATGTATGTTGAAGGGTTTGTAGATGTAAAGTCCGAGTGCAAATCTTATACATTTATTATCAGGGTTCGTACACCTTCGTAATTTAAAAAATCCTGGGGGGTGTTTCCATCTTTTTCCCGAGGGGTTTTCAGGGGCATTTGAAATATACAAAATAATTTCCCTAAGAAGTTGACAGGTTTTTGAGTGTTTAATGCCGTACTTAAGATTTTAAATGACGTTTAATTAATGACTTTCCCATGTGTCCCAAGACAAAAACTCTTTTTATTGCACCTGTATACAAAACATCAAAGACAGTTAAAGTGGCTCAGTTTTCCATAGAGTTAAATAGACAAATGTCTGGAGGTGCACCGGATTTCAAATCCGGCCGGATTTAACGAATTTTCCGGTATCCGGCCGGATTTAAATTTCTGTTTTCACCTTAAAAATTCACCAAGAATGGGATAAACCATCAATTTGGCAGCTTTGAAATTTAAATAACACTTATACTATTATAAAATATTAAGTTATTAACAAAAAGATATTTAAAAAAGGTTTAAACACAATCAAAAATCTAAACTGACACTAACTAAAAATAGTAAAAAACATAAATCGCCATTTTGAATACTGATTTATCCCCAGTTGTCCCCATTACCGGTTTATCTCAAATCCGGCCGGAATTTTTGTCCAAATCCGGTGCACCCCTACAAATGTCGTAAAAACTAACCTCTATTGAAATATTGAAAATGCAGAATAGGCAGTAACTGAAATTAAGCCAACATCACACTAAATACTTCGACAGACTTTGCTTTGCAGCCAGCGATTGAGGCAAGTTGCAAACGACCTACTTTATTCTCAGATTTTGCGATCAACAGCGTCGCGTTATATAATTCACTGTTTACTGTTGAAGTCATATTTCAACGTGATATATGCAAATTACGAAGGAAGACGGATAAACGATGATTTCTGGCCAGTCATCCCATCTACAATAGCATGCGCGCTTAATTAATTTTAAATCTTTTTCAATTTTCCTAGATCATTATATCCATGGTGTTATTCTTCATAACGTATCCATTGAGCGCTTGCAAATCGCTATCCAGTGACAACACAACTACAACGGTCAGCACCAATGCCGTAAAGAAACTTAAAGAGATTATCAATCTGAAAGAGCGAGCTAACCTACTGAAAGATTGCAATACGACCAAGGGCAAAGTTCTAGACGAGATTATCAAAAGATACAAGAACATTTTAAAAAACATGTCGAATAATGGAGTAAAAAAACCTACCAGATTGAGAATCAAAGATTTGGTTCGTGGGCGAAATATCGTCGACAGTTTTACGAAGCCGTTTACAAACCAACGCAAGCAAAAACTTTCGTTCAAAAATGGTCAGTTTTTAAGCTTGGATAGCAGTGGGAGAGTTAATGGTACCTTTGTGACAGATGGAAACCAAAACAGTGAGTATTTATTGTAAATTTTTCATTGATTGATTCTAAAATTAGCCCTAAGGGAGGTGTTCATGTTAAAGAGGTGTATGTATTAGAGAGGTGCCTGTATTAGCTAGGTGTCCATATAAGAGAGGTGTCCATATTAGAAAGATTATCATATTAGAGAGGTCTTCATATTAGAGAGATGTTCATATTAGAGAGATGTTCATATTAGAGAGATGTTCATATTAGAGAGATGTTCATATTAGAGAGATGTTCATATTAGAGAGATGTTCATATTAGAGAGATGTTCATATTAGAGAGATGTTCATATTAGAGAGATGTTCATATTAGAGAGATGTTCATATTAGAGAGGTGTTCATATTAGAGAGGTGTTCATATTAGAGAGGTGTTCATATTAAAGAGGTGTTCATATTAGAGAGGTGTTCATATTAGAGAAGTGTTCATATTAGAGAGGTGTTCATATTAGAGAGGTGTTCATATTAGAGAGGTGTTCATATTAGAGAGGTGTTCATATTAGAGAGGTGTTCATATTAGAGAGGTGTTCATATTAGAGAGATGTTCATATTAGAGAGATGTTCATATTAAAGAGATGTTCATATTAGAGAGGTTTTAATATTAGAGAGGTTTTAATATTTAGAGAGGTCTTAATATTTAGAGAGGTCTTCATATTAGAGAGGTCTTCATATTAGAGAGGTCTTCATATTAGAGAGGTCTTCATATTAGAGAGGTCTTCATATTAGAGAGGTCTTCATATTAGAGAGGTCTTCATATTAGAGAGGTCTTCATATTAGAGAGGTCTTCATATTAGAGAGGTCTTCATATTAGAGAGATCTTCATATTAGAGAGGTCTTCATATTAGAGAGATCTTCATATTAGAGAGGTCTTCATATTAGAGAGGTCTTCATATTAGAGAGATCTTCATATTAGAGAGGCCTTCATATTAGAGAGATGTCCATATTAGAGAGATGTTCATATTAGAGAGGTGTTCATATTAGAGAGATGTTCATATTAGAGAGGTCTTCATATTAGAGAGGTGTTCATATTAGAGAGATCTTCATAAAAGAGAGGTCTTCATATTAGAGAGGTCTTCATATTAGAGAGGCTTCATATTAGAGAGATGTCATATTAGAGAGATGTCCATATTAGAGAGGTGTTCATATTAGAGAGATGTGCATATTAGAGAGATGTGCATATTAGAGAGATGTGCATATTAGAGAGATGTCCGTATTAGAGAGATGTCCATATTAGAGACATGTTCATATTAGAGACATGTTCATATTAGAGACATGTTCATATTAGACTAATGACTTCCACACAAAAGAAAATGCTACGCTACGACTACGTTACAATTGAAGTGGAACAGCCTTAAGAGCGATAGCTTCAGCAGTCAGCACAGGAACTTCTCGTTCCCTGCCGACAAAGAGCCTTCGTTGTCGCTCAAAACATTAAAATATATAAACGTATTTTTATTGTTTAGCAATTTTCTACATGAAAACAAAAGCACCCCAGGTAATAATGATTCAATCACTTCAAACACAGAAATTCGTTGCGATGGACAAACATGGACATATTTTGGCCAAAGTAAGTGGAAGATTGTAGTTTAATAGAGAGCTGTCTGTATTAAAGAGGTGTCCGTATTAGAGAGGTGTTTGTATTAGAGAGGTGTTTGTATTAGAGAGGTGTTTGTATTAGAGAGGTGTCTGTATTAGAGAAGTACCGGTATTAGAGAAGTGTCCAATTTTGGGGAGGTGTCAGTATTCAAGAGATGTCCCTATTAGAGAGGTGTCAATATAAGACATGTGTCCACATTAGAAAGGTGTCTGCATTAGAGAGGTGTAGGCATTAGAGAGGTGTCCACATCGGAGAGGTTTCTATATTAGAGAAGTGTTCGCACTTGAGAGGTGTCTGCATTAGAGAGGTGTCCACATTAGAAAGGTGTCTGCATTAGAGAGGTGTTCCTATTGGAGAAATGTCTGTGTTAGTCTGTTAGAGAGGTGTCGGGCATCAGAGAGGTGTCGGCATTAGAGAGGTGTCCACATTAGAAAGGTGTCTGCATTAGGGAGGTGTTCATATTGGAGAAATGTCTGTGTTAGAGAGGTGTCGGGCATCAGAGAGGTGTTGGCATTAGAGAGATGTCCATATTAGAGAGGTGTCTGTATTAGAAAGGTGTCTATATTATAGAAGTGTTTGCATTTGAGAAGTGTCTGCATGAAAGAGGTGTCCATATTAGAGAGGTGTCTGCATCAGAGAGGTGTCCATATTAGAGAGGTGTCTGCATCAGAGAGGTGTCCACATTAGAAAGGTATCAGCATTAGAGAGGTGTCCATATTAGAGAGGTATCTGTAATAGAAAGGTGTCTGTATTAGAGAGTTGTTCGCATTTTAGAGGTGTCTGCATTAGAGAGGTGTGAACGAGGTTGGTGTCCATATTGGAGAGGTGTCTGTATGAGAGAGGTGTCCATATTGGAGAGGTATCTGTATTAGAGAAATGTCCATATTGGATAGGTATCTGTATTACAGAGATGCCCACATAGAGAGGTGTCAGCACTAGAGATGTATCAGCATTAGAGAGGTGTCTGCACTATAGAGGTGTCTGTATTAAAGAAGTCGGCATTAGAGAGGACTGTCAGCATTAGAGAGGTGTCTGCATTAGAGAGTTGTCTGTATTAGAGAGTTGTCTGCATTAGAGAGGTGTCTGCATTAGAGAGGTGTCTGTATTAGAGAGGTGTCTGCATTAGAGAGGTGTCTGCATTAGAGAGGTGTCTGCATTAGAGAGGTGTCTGCATTAGAGAGGTGTCTGCATTAGAGAGGTGTCTGTATTAGAGTGGTGTCTGCATTAGAGAGGTGTCTGCATTAGAGAGGTGTCTGCATTAGAGAGGTGTCTGTATTAGAGAGTTGTCTGTACTAGAGAGGTGTCTGTATTAGAGAGGTGTCTGTATTGAAAGAGGTGTCTGCATTAGAGAGGTGTCTGCATTAGAGAGGTGTCTGCATTAGAGAGGTGTCTGTATTAGAGAGGTGTCTGCATTAGAGAGGTGTCTGCATTAGAGAGGTGTCTGTATTAGAGAGGTGTCTGTATTAGAGAGGTGTCTGTATTAGAGAGGTGTCTGTATTAAAGAGGTGTCAGTATTAGAGAGGTGTCAGTATTAGAGAGGTGTCTGTATTAGAGAGGTGTCTGTATTAGAGAGGTGTCTGTATTAGAGAGGTGTCTGTATTAGAGAGGTGTCTGTATTAGAGAGGTGTCTGTATTAGAGAGTTGTCTGTATTAGAGAGGTGTCTGTATTAGAGAGGTGTCTGTATTAGAGAGGTGTCTGTATTAGAGAGGTGTCTGTATTAGAGAGGTGTCTGTATTAGAGAGGTGTCTGTATTAGAGAGGTGTCTGTATTAGAGAGGTGTCTGTATTAAAGAGATGTCCGTATTAGACCTCTGTATTAGTGAGGTATATCTTAGAAATTATTTTTATATAATACACATTTTTCACGCTTTACCAAGTCGAGAAAAATCAGAAAAATGATAAATTTCCTTTTGATAAGAAAATTTTCTTCCAATGAAGTGGAAGCATTGAAGACATCAGAATGTGTAGTTTACATGAAGTATGGTAAAATTTGGAATATATTTGTGAGAGAATTTAAGTTTTTTCAAGGAGTGAAGATTTTCTATATTTTTTATATTTATTTACCTTTCACGTGATTATGAACAGTATCTCCGAAGAATGCAACGACTTAAAGAAGAGTTATGATGCATGCTTTAATTCTTGGTATACTGAGAAATTCCTTCAGGGTGAGACAAGCTCCGAGCCGTGTAGGGAACTGTTCGAGTCTTATCGCGCTTGTGTCTTGGTAAGTCATCACCAAGGATGTCACACCTTTGGTGGGAGGGTGGTAGGGCGGGGAGGTACCACCTCACTTTATATCTACATTCTACTGACGTATAAAGACTATAAAGCAACCGACCAACTAATGGAAATCAATTGGACGATTGATGATTCCCAAACCAATATTGATCAATCAAAATCAATCAATCTTGACAACCCATTGAGTGGCAGTATTCTCCTGTTGACAAGTGAAATCATCTGATGTTAGACAGAGTAAAATAACAAAGTAGGGTGCATCAGGGGGCATTGCCGCCACTTAAAGGGTTAATATGAAACATGCTTGTGAATGCAATATATATTTTCGATAATTATGTTCTTGGCCTGGGAGTGTCACTCTGATGAATCAAGACGAAAGGCAATTGGCTCATGATTCATGGGAATGAAGCCCCCAATGATTTACTCATTGAACGCAATCATGCAATCCCCCTATCAGGCTTTCACAAGTAAAATTGTCTGGCATTAGACAGAGTAAAATAATAACGTAGGGTTACATCGAGGTGCAATGCCATTGTTTATTTGTTGACATGCTTATTTATTTACAATCGTCGTATTTTCTATCCACGTTTACTTTTCAGAAAGCGTTAAAGGATAAAAATATCAGCGTAGAAGAAGTCGAGAAAGATGTCTTAGGAACGCACAACGAGAAGAAAGCTCCGGACGCTCATGCCACAGAAAGCTGACAAGAATGATCATAAATTATTCCAGTCAAGAGCTAGCTATAGATTCTAAGAAGAGGCAATTCTTTCTTAGTTATTGGTCCTAAAATTAACACCACATAATTAAACTTTTAAAATGGAAAGACTCTCCCCTTGACAAGTAAAATCATCTGGCATTAGACACAGTAAAATAATAAAGTAGGGCGCATCGGGGTGCATTGGCACTTGAGTGTCCAGTGGTATGCAGTATTTTATAATAAACTTCAAAAAATATCTCAAACATGGAGGTCAAATGTAGGTAACTATTTGAAAATGTAAAAACACTTCAATGTTCTGTATTGTAAGTTAGCAGTTGTCAGATGGTAAAAATCTTCAAGGCAGTTCAGACAGCAACTATATTAGTTTTATTATTAGTCTAAATATTTTTGTAATTAATTAAGAGAAACTTTTAATATGTGGTGCAGTGAACAATAGCTCCAGAATAGGAACTGGAAAATAATTTATTATCATTTAATTAATAAATTAAAAGAATATGATTAAATTAGATATACCAGTACATTAAAAATAATTAAAGAATATGGAACAAGCGCGTGTCATATGTATAGGTCATATAGAAATATCTTTTATTTCGCTCCATTACCATCATTTGCCGGGTAAATATAAAACATGAATATCATTTCAAATATTAGTTTTTTAACACAAGACTGAAGTGTGTTACAAGTCTCTCGCATCTCTTGTTGCTTCCGGTACTTTTAATGTGATGCCCTCAAATTTTTCTGTAACTTCAATTTGACATCCCAATCTCGATCTGAGAAAGATAATGGAAGTAAGGATCATCTAGTATTGATCCAGTGTTACTACAGGAGGAAACCTAAACTAAATTAACTTTATTTATACTGGATAGCTCTATCAGTTCTAAACTGTTCTTCCTAGAGGTCCAGTAAGGATCATCTCTTATTGATTCAGTGTTACTACAGGAGGAAACCTAAACTAAACTAACTTTATTTATACTGGATAGCTCTATCAGTTCTAAACTGTTCTTCCTAGAGGTCCAGTAAGAATCATCTTTTATTGATCCAGTGTTACTACAGGAGGAAACCTAAACTAAACTAACTTTATTTATACTGGATAACTCTATCAGTTCTAAAATGTTCTTCCTTGAGGTTCAATAAGGATCATCTCTTATTGATCCAGTGTTACTACAGGAGGAAACCTAAACTAAACTAACTTAATTTATACTGGATGGATCTATCAGTTCTAAACTGTTCTTCCTAGAGTTCCAGTAAGAATCATCTTTTATTGATCCAGTGTTACTACAGGAGGAAACCTAAACTAAACTAACTTTATTTATACTGGATAGCTCTATCAGTTCTAAACTGTTCTTCCTAGAGGTCCAGTAAGAATCATCTCTTATTGATTCATTGTTACTACAGGAGGAAACCTAAACTAAACTAACTTTATTTATACTGGATAGCTCTATCAGTTCTAAACTGTTCTTCCTAGAGGTCCAGTAGGAATCATCTAGATATTGATCCAGTGTTACTACAGAAGGAAACCTAAACTAAACTAACTTTATTTATACTGGATAGCTCTATCAGTTCTAAACTGTTCTTCTTCGAGTGGAACTTACGTTGGTGTCAATCCGTAGGCGAGATCCAACATATCAAGCTCTTCATCGTCCGCGGGGGGGAGGTCTAACATAGCGTGCTCATCTGGATCAAAGATGAGATGACATGTTGAACAACTCAGCGTTCCTTCACAAGCACCTAGAAGACAGAAAATTTGTTGAGAACCTACATTATTATATTACTCTGTCTAACAACGGACAATTTTACTCATCATTAAATGGCTCAAACAGCGCACCTTCGAGATCAATGTCATTATTTTTGGCGACATCAAGAAGTGAATCTCCCTGTTTTGCAGACACTGTCTTCTTGTCTCCATCCCGGTCTAAAAATGTCATTGATACTCTGGAAAAACAAACAAGAGGGAAATAATGGTAGTCATCAGTTATGCCCATTTTATTGCTAGAATGGTACATGTAATAGGAAAACCCTTGCCCTTGATACAGGGAGGCGGAGTATGATTTTCAAACGGAATTGCTCACTCTCTCCTTGACAAATTGACCCGTTAAGTTGCATCGTGCGCCAATGCGCCCTACTTTATTACTTTACTCTGTCTAACGGCAGACAATTTTACTCGTCAGGGGGAGAGAATGCTTGGAAACACGTAGCATTTATATGTGAAAAATGATATTGAGTGCTGTCACTTTGATGCTCTCCCATTGATGTGTAAACAATCTTTCAGACAAGTACCAAATCACCACTTAGTAATCAGTCGGCAGCTTTTGTTTATTTTTGCTCCTCTTGGGGAGTCTAATGCACAATATTGATATATACAGTAATCAGTATAAATATCAAGCTTATAGACTACAAATAAGTCAATACTTACGTGTCAGGTTGAAGTTTGACCTCACTTGAACAAAATCGACGATTATTAAGATTAACATTAATAATAGCTCCAGCCATGACATGGTGATATTTTGTTGTAAACAATGTAGTGTACGACATTGGTTTCGCAAGAGACCGGGTGAAAATCGAAGCAAGTTTTCGTATGTGAGCCATTTTTGTGCAAGATATTTAACAAGAAGTTTCTTGCACTGGCTGTAGTCCAGCAAATGACTAAAAATTTGTATTACACACTCAGAAATATTAATTTTTATAACGAAAAGGAAGGAAAATTACTAAAGCGTACAATGGCCTGCCGCCTGCCTGCAGATGCCTGCGCATCTCAAGAGCGTCTGCGACACACGCACGGAAGACGAAGGTCAAACTCCAAAACGTACCAGGCGCAGATTCAAGATTGTAGCAGATATGGTTAGCCTTGTGGTCAATCTCAGAAATATTAATATGGCAAGTCATTACGGTTATCGAGTTTCCAAAAACATAGTACAGCTGAACCCTCGAACTCAGTAAACGTTATAAAAGCTAGGTTCAACAAGTTGCGCCGATCGTTATTGATCTAACCGATAGGTACTGTTAAAGTTACTGTGCTGAGTGGTTATATTACTACCTTAAAAAAGAAGCAGAAACTCGACGTTTCGAGCGAAGGCCCTTCGCAGTGGCGTGCTGGCAGGGGGGGGGGGCATGGCCCCCCAGCTGGCAATTCTTGGAGGGCGCAAAAATGAAAAGGGGGCGCCAAATTTTGAAAGTGGGTGGGAAAAACGCATTTGCAAAAATATAGTTACTTCCGCCAAGAAAAGATGTGTTTAATTCATAGGCTTATAGACAGACTAAGTGCATAGACTGCAACAAAGTGATATATTAAATTGCAGACTATTTTGTCTAACCGTATTTGCTAATTTGCTAGCCTACCTCACGGCTCACACAAAATCGTTCATATATGATCAGTGATCACACGCAATGTCTCATTGCCGGAATATTGGTCAGGTTTCGGAGCGGTCACGGGAATTATGCCCTTTTTTTGCTGGTATTATGCCCTTTATTATGCATCACGAGAGCGGCGCAAATTAGATAGTTTTTATATGATAATTTTAAGTTGTGTACGCAATTTAGTTGTTTGTGCAAGAAACATCATGACTCATGAGTAATGTTAAGTAATAAGATGATGCTGAAACGCGCCCTTTTGGCAGCCAAGCAAGGAAACCTTAAAATGCATATGCGTGGGGTCCGTGTGTTATTGTATAAAGGAGCTGTAAGTTGTAAATCTATTCAGATCACTAGATCAGTAGAGAATATAATTGGGATTAGATTAATCGCTGGAATTAGTCAGCATTGCCCAATTCAAGTACTACTACTAAATTCTATAACCAAATTGCAAATTTCGACACGTTATAATCCCGTTTCCTGACCATCAGATTTCTGTCAAACCTTCCCCACAAAGTCCAGGAAATGGCATTTCAGAGACTCTAAATTCAAAAATTTTCCCAGGGGGGCATGCCCCCGGACCCCCCTAGATAAACCTTGCACCTGCGGCGCTCGGTTCGTGCTTTCGTCCCTCGTTTATCGAGCGTTACAATATAGGGGCGCATATTAGTTCATAGCCGACTGGCCCACCTAGAAAAATAGTACCCAGCACGCCACTGGGCCTTATTGTAGAATACTACCTACACTGGACCACCACATTTGAGATATCTTTTTCAGGTAGTTCAGACACAAACCACAGCAGCTTATTGTAGAATTATACTACCTACAATACACTGGACCCCCAACAAGAAATGTTTACCAATTAACAATTCAACTCAACCACATTATCATGTCTATCATGCAACCCTACCTTCACAAACAAGAGACAAACTAGCTTTATACTTTCAACAAGACAACACACTCCACAAATCTTTATCAAGCTGTTTACAAACACCCCAGAAATACCAGACACACCACACTTTTCAAATCAAATGTCTGGTGCAATGACAATACACCCAACTGGTTTGCCAAGATAACATGACTTCTGTCTAATCATCCACTTACAAATCTGTCTTAAATTCCCACAAACACATAATCTGTTCCAGATGCGCTCATTTAAGGCTATCACATCAATTATGACCTGTAACCCGAGGTTAATTAATATGATCATTTGATGGACATATTTATAGCCAACTGCAGTCTGTACAAACAAAAGCAAGTAAAATCTTTGAAAAGCTATATGGAATGCCAACATTTGTTGATAGAAACACATATCCTATCATAGTTATTATAATTATGGTCTCAGAATTCAATATTACTATTTGACAGGCATATGTATATCCTATTATTCTAGCAAACAAGGGATATTTGGGCAGCCAGAGTGCATTTCATGTAAACTCTAAGCCATTTGCAAATGATCAC